GATTTAGCTCTGCATTCGGCGCGATGCTCCGAGCATCAGACTCAGTTATCAATGTATTTATCTGTACATAAAACTATACGACTTGAGCAATATCTGATACACCACTATGCCGATCGATAATCTGTAGGGGGAGGGGTATTTTTATCACAATCCTAATATTATCTGCTTACAATTTCCGATGACAGTCATTTTCGTAATGAACCAAGCCTTGTGTCATCCTACACGTCTGCCACCCGCAAAGAGCCTTGGTGATTCTGGCTTGTGACAAGTTTCTAATACTTTCTGATGAACATAGAAGCCCTTTGCTTGGGGTACGGCTCGGCCTTTCTGGGCAACTCCGTGGAGACACAAATTCGTAAACACAAGCCAGCGAATGAAGTACCCCATCTGGAAGTTTGTCGCTATACATGTGTAGTTTCTTTCGCCATGCACACCTAGCTCCAAACTTCTAGAGAATGTGCGACTTTCACATGGTCAGCACTCGAGGCCAGAGTTGCATTTAATCCTCTCACCTTCATTCACGATGAAGCATTCCATAAGTTCTGGACAGCTGTGAGTAATTTGGAGCCCTGGTTAGTCTCCGTCAAATAGCTGTACCTCCTTTCATGACAGAGCACACGTTGCCGTTTGGGGTAGCGCATGTGTGTCGTAACCAAGAAGTCTAGACGGCAGGAAACATGACAGCAAAGAAAGAGCGCCGAATTTTTGCTGGTTCTTGCTCCAAAAATATAGCGGCCAGTGCTGTGCACCGCATTCCAGGACTGTGATTTCAGCATCTTAGGGTCAAAAAAAAAGAAACTGGGAATGCCGGGATATGGGTTCTTGCATCATTGTAAGAACGAATGCCAAAAAAACACTTGTACAAGCCATCAAGCGTGGTCGCCGGCATCTGCATCGAGAAAACGACAATGCGCGTGGGCGAGGAACTGGCCGCCATCTGTTTGAAGATTGATATTAGTTGGGTGATTTTGCCCACCCTGTTGGGACGTTCTTTTGAGTGAATTGGTACAACGGCCTGGGGTGCGTGCATTTGAACCCGAGTCCGACCGACGTGAAAGCCGTAAAACCCGCCGACAACGGCAGCCTTTGATGGTGGGTAGGGGGATGTTTCCTTCCTAACCAAGCCTTTGAGTCGGCGCTTTGGCGGTTCAAGAACGGAGCACGTGTTGCGCCTCAGATGTTGATATGGTAAAAATCGTATCTTAGGTAACCCGTTATCAATCACTGCTTCAATGCAGCGCGAAACATTACCATAGAGCGGGAAGTTCCCTTTGACGATGGCTGTGCCATTGTAAGGTATCTCTTCAACTCTTCAAGAATGCAAGAGCGATTTGCCGAGATTTCACGGACGCAGTCATGAACCATAAAGAGGACACGAGCAAGTCACGAGAATATTAAAAAACACGCAGGTTTGTTCATTCCGTGACTGAGATATCCAAGCCACTAGCTTAATTGAACTGAGAAATGATCGCGAGATCGACGGATGGATTGGTGAGCAGCATGGAAATCCTCATTTTGTCATGCCTGCCCGTGGTACAACGCAGTCGTGCACGCTTCTGTCTCCAAGTTGTAGAATCCGCGTTAAACGAGGCAGATTTGCGTTTCGATTTTTATATATCCTGCTTGAGTTTGAATAAAACGGTGCGAATCCGCCTCAAGGCGTATAGTTCTAGGGGCGGCATCGGTCTAAAGAGGCGATCATCGCTTGAACTATATCTTGCATGAGGCTGGTTGAGAAAAAATATCTTTGAGAGGGTAGGCACGTCGTATGACAGAGATTAGTCTCGAGGTACGAGGTACCGATTAATCCTGAATTTTGACAGAGGCTTCTGAAGCTTGTAGAGACGCGACAATAGAGCTAAACCTGTACGGCAGTCCTTATGCCTAAAATGTACATATTCCATGATGTTATTTCGGTAAGAGACCGTAAGACAGGAAAACTAGTCCGATACTGTCACAACCGGACAACAGCCCGGATCATACATGTGTCGCAGCGATTTAGAACGACATGCGTTTGGCTCGCGGTGCCGACAGGAGTATGCAGTCGGTAACCTAGTCGTGACGATGAGGGTTCAACGACAGGACATTTAGTGCGCCTCAACTTGTGTAGGCCCTAGGGGTATGAAACGGCAATTTAACCATGCGAAGGAGTCTGGAGAGGCCGGGTGACCAGAATTGTAGAACATAGATTTGAATCGTATATCGGAATCTGTAGTACTAAGTCAAGTTGATCTTGTTGGTACTAGCCTTTTAGTCTATTTTTTAGGTGAGTTGTTTGCGATATGAAGGACGTCAGTGCACAGCATGCCAAGCGGTGAAGACGAAAGTGACCGCGAAATCCTGCACGTGTTGGTATTGAGTAACGGACTGGTTCGGGCCGGCGGTAATAGCACACATTCCCACCCAGACCGCCGCACCGCCAGTCTTGTCTCCTGTCATTACCAGACGTCATCCACAGTCTCGAAGCTCAAGGCATGACCAGCAAGGTAAACGTCGAGGGTATACTACTCTTTGAGCAGCCATTTGCAAGAGTACGCATGCTTGAAGCAGCAATTCAATGACCAGAGGCTTACGCACACAATTGTTCTCGACTAGGTTCCGTACGAGAACTACCGCAAGGTCTTCCGGAATTCCCAGAGGAATGTTGAACGTGAACTTGGAGCTGTTCAAACGACTGCGTCTGATCTCGCCAAGCGCGCTTCAACCGGAGAACTTGGGCGAGACGAAGCCATGTCTGCAATCGACGGCATGATAGGGAGAGTGGAGAATCTGAAACGCAAGGTCCGTGGAAGCAGTATCTCGTTTGCATTACCTTTCGCCTCATAGTGAGCTTGATCAATAGCTTTCAGACCTTCAAGAGACCGCTGGCAAACCGACTTTGGATGTAATGCGAGAACGGCTCCATCATTTGTCGACGGTCGAATCTATACAAACGACGAGTGGATCGGAGTTCTCGAGATGGGCGGACACTCGGTTGGACAGGTGGCTAGTGGACTGGGCACTCAGGAGTGGTAAGGAGAAGACTGCAAGGAGAATAGCGATGGATAAAGGGATTGAGGTGAGTATGGTCACCGCACGTTCCATGAGAATAATCAGTTGATGCTGTCCCTGATTCTGTTAGACGCTCGTAGACATTGACTTGTTTACGGATATTCAACGAATAGAGGGTGCTTTGGAGCAGCACAGTTGTACAGAAGCTCTGGCCTGGTGTAGCGAGAATAAAGCAGCACTGCGAAAGATCAAGGTGCGTATTGTGCCCTGTTGTCTTCAATTTATAATCACCTCGAATGTCTACACAGAGCACTCTTGAATTTGAACTGCGGCTCCAGGAATATATTGAGCTTTCAAGATCACGAAATATGTTAGAAGCCATCGCTTACTCGAAGAAGCATCTGGTTCCATGGCAAGACACCCATCTCGCGCAGATTGAGCAAGCGTCAGCGTTGCTAGCTTTCCCTCCAAATACGCGTTGTCCTTCATACAAGGCAATTACCTGATTATTGCATGTGAAGCCTCATCGGTGACTAACCGTGCCATTTAGAGACTATACGATTTATCAAGATGGAACAACCTTGTCAAATCCTTCCGACTTGCGATCTACAATCTGAATACACTCCCGACCGAACCACTTCTCTATCTCGCCCTTTATGCTGGTCTGGCATCTTTAAAGCTTCCGGCATGTTACGACCATGCCACGAAGAACGTCGACTGTCCAGTATGCGATGTTGAAACCGGTGAATCAGCTCCAAAGGGCCTAGGCAAACTCGCTGAGGAGGTCCCACTCAGCCATCATGCCAACTCGACTATTGTCTGTCGAATAAGCGGTAAGATCATGGACGAAGATAATCCGCCCATGGCGTTCCCCGATGGTTCCGTCTACTCAAGAGAGGTGCGTAATTAAGCTTGATACGGCTCACTACCAGATGAATGGAGTTTCCTATTTGCAGGCTCTGGAGGAAATGGCGATGAAGCACGGTGGCAAGGTTACCTGCCCTCGAACAGGCTCGATATGTAGCTTCTTAAACCTGCGGAAGGTTTATATCTCATGAAGTCCGACGTATACGATGTGCAAATGCCTTTTCAATGTATCATGTATTCATAGTTGCATAGTTATCATATTTTGAATGTCAGTAATGTCTCGGAAGCTCTGACAGGTAGCTTATAGGCAGCAACTATTTTCGGCATACAGCGCGCTTGTAGGCGGGATGCGTGGGACCTGCAGGTGAAATTAGACAGATCTCTAGAATCGTCTTGCTCCACATAGGAGAAGGGCAGAAGTAGACACTCTTCTAATGTTATACTTGGTGTCCATGCTTGTGGATCCGTCATTTATCCTTCCCGAGCTAGCGGCGGACGAAGGCGAATCTCCATATCCTCGGAGCCTCGAGAAACAGTTGCCTAGGCAAACGGATGAACCCACAAATCAACTCCGCCCCTCTCATAGTAATTTGACCGCATAGTAAGGACTTGCTCGCTATAATAGGGATTAGCGAAGAATAAAGTCGTCCCTACCTGCGATACGGAGCTGTAACATCCTGCACTTGCAGAAGATTCGTGGAAATATCGTATTACGAAGATTCGTGAGGTAGAGAGTTTAATCATGCGCGTGCTACGCGTCTTTGAGTAGTTTTACACACCTTAGCCGTGTTTATTGTAAAGCATTATTTATGTAAGCAATTAACATATAAATTCACGAAGTATATGAACGATTAGGAACTGCGTACAAGGGTTATTCAGCATGAGTTACTATATTTTTAGATATTATCAAAATTTGAGAACCTTTTACGCGATTGCTCCTCAACTATTCACTCGATCGACGTGAAATCCGGCGTGCTTAAGACTGAAACGCTGGCTATATTGATAGACTATTATTGGAGGGCTCCGAATAGTCAAATCTCGTTAGAATGGAAAACGTTATGGGGACTTCCTGGATGTCTTCCCCATCATAATATTCTATACTCTAAATTCGAGCTATTTAAGCTCTTCTTCCTTATATTTAAGCCCGTTTAGCTCAGTGGTAGAGCGCGCCACTCGTAAGAACTTAAAAAGCGTCAAGTCGATGGTGAGGTCGGTTGTTCAATCCAGCCAATGGGCAAGATCTTTTGGCAAAATTTTCAAAGAAAAATTAACCGCTTTGAATAGCCATAAAATCTCAGTTATGCTGTTTTTCGTTTTAAAAATACCGCTAAGTTGAAATTAAAATGAGTATTTCCGTCCCCGAATATTAGAGCCAGAGAACGTAAAGTGAGCGAGTCCCAGAATTTCTAGTGAAACCGTCTCCGTCCAGGTACGAATTCATTTGTAAACGTTTGCTACATGCCTTAAACCCCCTGGGAGACGGTTTCCACGGCTGCATTTTTATCCTTGAAACAACACTCTAAGCTTTAGTCATTATTTCTAGGAGTAACCATCTCGCTGGGAGTACAGTAGCTCAGAGCTCCGTCCCAAATGAATTTAGGTCCCCTGAATCGGCCCCATTAAATTTTTGTTAGGTCATCTACGTCTGCAGAAAGGTCTAGATAGCTACGGATCTTTTCAGCCTCCTTTGTGCATTCAATAATGGCGCAAATAGCTTGAAGGTCTGCTTCTAAATGTCTAATTCTAATTGAACTAAGTCTTGAAGGAGAGCAAAAATAGACAATAATCAGATTAGATAAGATGCTCGACCTGCCATGTGGCAAAAAGCACATGCCCAAGCTCGGCTGTTTCTCCATGTTTTCCTGCCGCTTCCCCAACGGAAACAGTTAAGTCTTCTTTCCTCTTTCTCTCTCTTCCTCTCATCCTCAACAGTCTCCGAACTTCTTGGCTTTTGCTCATATACCCATGGTAAATACTTTGGGATCTCTCCGACATAGGGCCCCGACAGATTCGGCTGCAGCACGTCAAACCATCTCGGTCAAGCCATCGGCAGGACCTTCAAAGGCACCACATGCGTTAAAAACGCTCACTTGGATGGAGATCCCACACTGGCAGCAGGATAATGAGCATATTCTGTCTGGGTACAGGCGGTAAGTTACTCTAGATATCCTGTGACCCGCAGCAAATACTGAACCAAACTCAGGGTACAAAACAACTGGCGCGGATGCATAGCGTCAGTGTTTGCGTGTATGCAAAACTACTCCTTTTTCACAGTTTACGGCCTCATCTGAATCTCGACCAGATTTACACAACGAGACAGGTACGATCCCTCGATTCCCTGCCTGTATTTCTGTCGGCTAACTCTCAAACATTTTCACCCAGTCAATATCCACTCTCACCTGTGGGGTGCCGTTTTATTCATTTACTTCCTAGTGTCATTCTATCCCACCTACGTTCAGCCTCATGGGTCGACTACATGGAAAGACGTTGCAGTGTTTGTTATATTTCTGACTTCCGCGGTTTTCTGCCTTGGAGCCAGCGCTTTATACCACACTTCAGGGTGCCATTCGGAAAAGGTGCGCTACACGCGTGTTATAATGTATGCTTCCAGTAATCTTAATACTACTTTTAGGTTGCAACTCGTTGTCATGCTTACGATTACTCCGGCATTGTGGTATTAACTGTGGGGTCGTTCTATCCGTGTCTCTATTATGGTTTCTTTTGCCATGCTCATTTCCAGGCATTCTACCTTATTTCGATGACTCTGGCCGGTCTAGGTGTGTAATTTTCTGATCATGATCGTGGAACTTCCGTCATGATCGACGCGACGGAAATTTGACAGGCGCTGCATACATCGTGTTGAATCCAGAATATGGCAAGCCCAGTCACCGCGGTGCCCGCACAGCGGTCTTCATCGGCCTGGGATTGTGTGCTGTAGTTCCGGTGTCACATTTAATCGCAACACATGGTGCTAGTGAGCTTTTAGCGGAGATGGGTTTCGGCTGGCTTCTGGCTTCGGGGGCGCTCTACATCATAGGCGCATTGCTTTAGTATGTCGCATTTCTTCCTCGTTTCATTCTTCCCCGTGACTTTCGTTACATTACAAGTTCATTGATGGAAATCTAAACTTATCTCTCCTCAACAGCGCGAACCGCATTCCAGAGCGCTTAGCCCCAGGAGTTTTTGATTATTTCCTCGCATCTCACCAGATATTTCATGTCTGCGTCGTCCTAGCAGCGCTGGCACATTACAAGTGCGTGTTGACATGCCTTCAGTACCGACTGTTGCAGCCTCTAGTTTGTGGGAAGTGAAACGGTCAGGCACCGCGGATGTAATTCTTACATCATCGTGCCAGGCAGTCTTCGGTGAGTTTAGATCCCCTATTCTGTTCCTACATGGAATTTTCGTTCGATATTTGGGCTAATCAAAGCCGAATATAGGAACGTTTTGTAGATCTTACAGTTCCTGGATCCTGGATGATCATCCCAGATTTGTGAAGCCCGTACACCGGGCTCCGAAATCGTTCCTCTACATTTGATTTGGATGCTCTTAGAATCTGTAGAATGAGATGGATCTTGAAGACCAGAGTTTACGAAAATTGGCCCATCCGCGACTCGCGTTATCAAAGTCCTATATTCTCAAAAGCACATTCTTTTCTCCGAATCCTCAAGTTCTATGTTCTTGATTTAGATGGATTCGCACACATGTATTCTTCTGCGGACTATTTCTCATTATCAAGGTGTGCTGCAACGTGGGATTGTCGGGGCCGTGGAACGATGCATGATGCCCCTGTGGTCCTGTGATGGTCAGCATGATACAGCGTCCACTATGTCAGCTTCAATCAGTCAAGCATTTGAGCTTTTACTTTGAGTGGAAAGTGACATATCGAGTTATCACCGCAATGACCGTATGGGAAGGATGCTCAGTGGTGGGAGCGATTCGGTCTGATCAGCCGCGTATGTATATTGCTGGGGATGCGAACCGGTAACGTATAACGCCATCCCTATCTTGCCAATCATATCAGGAATCAGATCCCGTAAACGCGGTAAATCACGCCGTAAAAAAATACTGCATTTTTAGGCCTGAATCTATCTCAAAATTAGGCTCAATAAATCTTTGGGATCTGAGAAGATTAAAAATATGTTAAGGAGAAAGCGCACCTCTAATGTATGTACAAGAGCCATGCACGTCAAGACTCTTACCACGTGTCACCGTGCACTGATTTCAGCCTACCTCCGTGACTGCCTTGCGTTCGCAACACGGTTCATTTCGGGACCGCATCTACTTGGAATTCGACCCAAACAAACTTCCCCGAGATTCTTGGAAAAAAACGTTCCAACTTGTTGTCAACTTACCAGATCCTCCCTCCAATTGCCCGATTGGAAATGCGCTTCCGCGTCCCCAAATGTGAGGTCGAAATGAGCCATGCTGCAATTCACTGGAGCGCTGACAATTCATGATTTTCGGGCCTTGTGTGTGCATGCAACTCCCCGTGCCAGGGTATAAAATACGCCAATGTTCGACCTCCATGTTCTACATCTTGGCTGGGCCTAACATATCCTTCTACTTTTATTCCTTCACGAAACCTCCTAACTATCGACTTCGACCCTTTGATCATACTTCATTCCTCACTCTCGTATCACTATGCCTTACACTATTGGTCTACATGCAGCATCGACGGCCTTTCTCTCTGCTGGCTTCGCTACCCAATTCACGGTCGCCGTGATAGTCTTCCTTGCGATCATCCTTACTACATCCGCTTTTCAGAAGGACGGAGTAGACGCGCCTGCATCATTGCCTGGGAACTCTCTGCTCGCTATTACACCCTTCTTCCGCAGACGTTATGACTTTTTGAACTGGGGTTTTCACGCTACGGGCCAAAGTATTTTCCAATTTCAGTTATTAAGAGTACGCTTCTTCTTATTCCCCGCTGCTGAGTTCACGCGTTAACTCCCTGGCCGGCAGAATACCGTGATCGTTGTTTCCGGAGAGAGCGCACGCGAGAAGTTCTTCACGGCGAAGGGACTTGACCTTACAGAAGGCTTCAAAATTTTATCAGGCGCTGTTCGTGCTCTTTTCACGCTGTCATCGCATTTTCTCCATTTGACTGATCATTTTCTCTTAGATACCCATGGTCCGAGGTGTGACGTCTGATTTACAGGTGCGAAGGATTGCGATGATCCACAGACGACTGGCAAGCGTTCAAAAGAACGCATCGTTGACCGCACGTAAGCTCTTCTCGTCATCCGGACTATTTTTACACCTGCTCAAACCGTCTCTGGTTATTTCTAGTCATTCCCCATATACTGGATGATTCTCGGAGGATAATGGAAAGTTGGGGAACCAACGGCAGATTCGATCCATTCGATAAAATCTACGAGGTGGGCGTTTGTTTGCTCTCAGTGTATTAATACTCTCGGAAAGTGCTGACAAGTCCTCGATTCCTTAGCTGATTTTCCAAATTACTATCCGAAGTCTATCCTGTACTGAAATCTCCGACGATCCTGCACTTGTTTCGCGCCTCAAAACACTGTATGATACCCTCGACACCGGAACAACTCCTGCTACTGTCCTCGTGCCATGGTTCCCCACCCCGGCTATGATCAAAAAACTCTGGGCAACTAAGGAAATTTATGACATCGTTGTAAAAGCCATCGACGCCAGAGAAAAAAGCGGCATTGCCCAAAATGACACGCTCCAGATGCTCCTCGATGCGGGTGACGAAAAGCTCATAGTAGTTGGTGTAAGTATGATTATTTTTGTCTTTCAGAAAAAAAATCTAACCATTATCTTTTGTCCAGTTCATCATGGGCCTTCTGATAGCCGGAGCTAGGGCGACTGGAACTACAGGTCAGTCGAATAATCACCACTTATCTCAATGCAGAGTTGACTAATCACATTGTCTTTCAGCATCTTGGTTAATGACGTTAATCGGAGGCCACCCAGAATGGCGCGCAAAAGCCGCGGTGGAGGTAGAGTCCCTCCTGGCATCATATTCGTCACCATCATCATCAAGCGCCCCTCATTCCCTTGCTTCCCGCCTTGCCTCCATTCCTCTCGAGGCCTGGGAATCTGAAACCCCTGTCCTGGACTCCATTATCCGTGAAACCACGCGCATCGCCCAACCACACACTGCAATGCGACGAAACCTTGGTCCAGAGTTATACATCAACAACAAAATTATCCCAACAGGCGCATACGTTATATATCCATTTAGTGACGTACACCTTGATCCCG